ATTTTAATAATGAAATGGAGATCTTTTTTAAAGGTTAAAACCTCATTTAATGTTATGTCTTATAGGGTTTATACTGAGTACAATATTGTATAGCTGTAATAATTCAACTGTAAACCTAAAAATTACAGCCAGTTTTTAAAGAGAAAAAGAAAATTATCATCCTGGAGCCAACAAGATGGCTCAGCAGGTAAAAGCGCTTGCCACCAACCTGATGATTTTTCAATCCCTGGGCCCCACATGGTGGAAGGAGGGAATCAACTCTCTCTGACCCACACCTGTAACCCCAGTACTGGAGACTGGAGGGGACAGAGGCAGGAGGATCCCTGGGGTCACTAGCCAGTCAAGCCCAATCAATGAGCTCCAGGGTTCAGAGAGAGACCCTGTCTCAAAATAATACTAGTAATAATAATAACAATAATGTGGAGAGAAATAGAGGAAGACACTAGATGTTGACCTCTGGCCTTCACATGCATAAACACACATGCACACATGTGTACACACATGCACACATGTACATACAGAATTCTCCTTTTACTGTGTCATCTCGTCAAAATCTCCCATGTTTCATAGACTAGGTTTTTAAAAATTGATTATTTTTATTTTATGTGTATGAATGTATTGTCTGCACGTGTGTAAGTGCATCTGTGTTGTACAGCGCCCATGGAGGTCAGAAGAGGATGTTGGATCCCCTGGAACTGGAGTTACTGACAATTGTTAGCCACCATGTGGGTGCTGGGATTCGAACCCAGGGCCTCTGGAAGAACGGCCAGTGCTCTTAACTGCTGAGCCATCCCTCCAGTCCCCAGACAGGTTTCAGGAGCTCCACCTCTGGACCAGACAGCTAACTTCTTTCACTGTCCAATTCAATGTTTTTTTTTTTTAAAGTGAATTCACAATTATACAGTTATCACCATAATCAATTTCAGAACATTTTCGTTATTCTCTCCATCACCCACATTTGAGCAATAGAATGACACCTTTCTTTTTTATGGCCTAGTAATATTCAACTATATTGGATAGACCTTTTGTTTACTTGTTTACCAGTTGATGGACATACAGATGTCTCCATCTTTGGGCAATTGCGATAGCCTCATTTAAAAAATTGTATTTTAAACAAACAAGGAATGTTTTCAGGTTCTTTTGGCCTTTCTTGCACTTCAAAACTAAACACAAGAGACAAAGTTCAGCCACTTTCAGACCTAGGGCATAGTTCCCCTCCCTCTACCCACAGGCATTGAGCCACAAAAAGAGAGACTAATAAACGTCACAGAACGCCCAGGAAGCTGGGTAAGGGAGGGACAGGCTTCCTGTCTGTGCCTTCCCCCAGCCCTCCCTCCCTCTCTTCTCCAGCCTCTCGTTCCTTCTCAGAGGAGCCCCAAGCTCAGCTTCCAGGCTCATTCTAGAAGCCAAAGGCCTCTTTCCATGAACTGGAGGTGTCTGGCCGCCTCCAGATCCAGGCTGGTCCCGACACACTGTGGGTGGCCCACCTCTGTCTGCCACTGTTCTCCTCTCCCCTGTGCCAACCTAGCGCTTTCCTCCACCCCCCGTTTGGCCAGGAGGGGTGGATCTAGCCAAGAGCCCACTCCAGAGGCCAGTGCAGTGAATGGCATCATGCAGGGGCCACGGAGGAGGGGAACCAGAGGCTAGAGGTGAACTGGAACCAGATCCTCCTCCAACCCTGCTGTGTACGGGGAACATGGCACCCACACTGAGATGCATGCATAGAGATGCGACACAGACACCTACACAGGCCTCCTGGTCTGCACCAGGCCCCTGCTTTTCCCAAGTATTTGAAAAGTAATATTCTGAATTCTGGGGTGTCTCTAGCCCCCCCCCCCGAAAGTCTGGAGAAAGCAAGCTCAGGAGAGGCTAGGGAAGCCAGGAGATCCTGACTCCTCCTGGGTCCCCCACCCCTTCCAAGGGCCTCCTGTATCACATGCTCTTACATGGATTTGGCAGGTCTGACTTCTGCCCTGGGCCCCAGGATTCTTTCTCTTGAGGCCATCCTCCCAGTCTTCCTGGTCCATCCCTACTGTGTGCTTGTGTATCCTCTCAGAGGGCAGGTCTGCGTTCCGGGGAGTTTGCCTCCTGCCAGTAAGCTGCTCCCCGTTTGGGGCATGCGCTTCTCTGACAGTTTTCACTGTTCTAAATGAGGCTGTTGGGCGTCTCAGCTCCCATGTCCCTCTCTATCTCCTAGATCACCTCCTTGGGTGATCGGGCCCCAAGGCAGCCAGCTAAGGGTGAGACTGATCTGATCCTGGGACCGTGGGACTGTTGTTTTTCTGGAGCATCCTTGTTACCAATGCAGGATGTGTGGATCAGTAATAACACACACCAGCACGGTGCCAGATCAAACCAGACACTGAGAGAGGCCTGGGGACCTTCCCAGAATCACCCCACTTAGTGGGTGAACTTGAGCAAGCATCATCTCTTCCCTAGGCCTCAGTCTTCCTGTCTGAGATGTGAAAGGGTCCAATGGGTGATGGTGGTCAAAGAGCATCTCTCCTTTCAGCTGGGATGCTAGACTGGGCGTGTTGCTAGGCAACAGTGTTTGTTTGGGATTCTGCTGTGGAGTGGGGGCAGCTGGGACTGTTCCTGGCTTCTGGTCCTGCTCCCGAGGCATCTGGCCAGGGACCCACTCAGGGCCAAGTCCCTAGTCCCAAAAGGGGAGGTGGAGCGAGGGGACACGACTACTCCCGGCTTCCCAGTTGTCACATCCCTGTGCCTTTCTCTACCCACTCCCTTAGACCCTGCAGGACAGCCAGCCCACCCACCCATCTCCTTACGGAGGCCGGCTAATGAGAGCCAGAGGCCGAATGCAGACTGCCCAGGGGCCCTGTGTGGGGTCTCTGGCTTGGTGGCCAGTGGAGGCTAGCTTGAAAGTATGACATCCTACTATGCTGAGCGGCTCCCTTTGTTAACCAAACACCAGAGTCGAAACTTTGCTCACCACGACAGCTGGATGCACAGTGGTGGGGTCTCGGTGCTGAGGGCCACTGTGCCTGGATCAGCTGAGTGGTGTGGGCAACACTGCTCATTACTCTGGCCTCTGTTCTGCTCGACGGGGTGATAGTGCCCTTGGGGACCCTTCCCTGAGGCCTGGCTGGGGAGTGTCAAGTGAGAAGGCATCCCAGCAGGTGCCTAGCTGTGTAGACGTGTACAGGAAACACACGATCATTGGCAGCCACTGCTGACGTCAGCACCACGCCTGCCAGCATTGTGAAATCTCAGGCCCCTTTCCTCAGTTTCTCCAGCTCAGCATTTCCACCCACGACTTCCTTAGGGGGGACTATGCCATTGGGATGAAGGCCCCCCCCATCCCGCCTCAGAGCTGCCCTGGCCCAACAGACACCACCACACACACCAGAACACAGTGGGCAAATGCCGAGTGTGGTCTGACTGTGTGGTGGTGAGGACCCCCCCCCCCCCGGTGGACAGGTGGCTTTGAGGAGTGCCACTCCTTCCCCAGCCTCCAGCCTTACTGTGTGCTTGCATAGTGAGGTTGGAGGTGTTGCAGAGTGACCCTCAGTCACCAGAAGCAGCAAGATGAGTGGCCTGTGTTGCAGTGGGAGGGACCAGGGTAGAAAAGCACCCAGATTCTAAACAGTGGGGAGCCCAGGGGCACTCCCACTGTGGAATGAATAAATATCGAATAAATGAATGAATAACTGACTGGCCTACCTAGGCTGTGGACTTCAGCCTTCCTGGAAGTGTTAGGGAAAATTTCATGGAAGGGCTGGAGCCTGTCTGGCCTTGAGATTGGGAGGGCAGCACAGCCACACTGAAACTGTGGTGGACACGGGCCATATAAGTGAAGGTGGGGAAGGGAATGTACGTGTGAGCAGGGACGGCTGTAATTTCCACCAAATATTTAATGAGCACCTACTATGCGCCAAGGGTTGGGATGAGCTGAGGATTTGAGCACACTTGGCTCCTCCCAGGCAGTCCCCACCAGGTGTCACAGGTGTGATGAATACCCAAAGGCTTCAGGAACAGGCAAAGGCTGCCGGGTGCTGGCCACACTGGGATGCAGGCAGGTGCAGCCAGGGGCTGGGACTATGCCAAGCACTTCCCATCAGGTGTCCTTAGGTCCATCTGGGCAAATCAGGGGGCTGTTGGTCAGCCCTCTGCCTGGGGAGGCCTGCCAGGGTCAGTGCCCGCCTCCCCACCCCGCCCCCACATAGGTTCCCCAGCCCAGCACTCTCACTCTAACATCTGTGTGCATCTCGCTGTTGACAGCAAGGTCCAGTCCAGAAGGATGTCATGTCATAAACAGGAAATTCCCCTCAAATCCGAGTGCTCCTCTGGATGCTTCGAGGAGCCATCTGGCTTCAGAGCCTGGGGGAAGCTCTCTGGATTCCCCACCTCCCTGTAGCCCACTGCTAGAACAGACTGGTGACCTGTGCACTCCCTCTCATCCCTGACTTCCCTGGCTGAGCCTCTGGAAAGGTGCAAGGAGGGCGATGTGGGCAGAAGGAACAGGTGGAGGCTGCCTGGAGTCCCCTAGGCCCTTCCTGACCCTGGCCAGCCTCAGGCCCAGGGCAGCTGTCTTAGCTTTTCCCTGAGCCTTGTTGGAAGGTCGAGGTGGGCCATGATTAAAGTGTGGCTCTGTGTAGGGTCTGAGCTGGGTCTGATAATAACGGGTAAATACAGTAGATGGAGCCTCTGACAGACGGGTAGCCCACATCTCAAGCTGGGTGGCGAGAGCTGTGACAGGGGACTTCAGCCGTGGGAGCCCACAGGACAGGCTGGCCAGCCTAGTGTATCAGGGTTGCCTTCCTGGAGGAAGTTCTTTGTGAGTATGGATGGGAGGGCAGGTGTCCAGTGGATGGGCAGAGTGGGTACATCCAGGCAGGCACAGAGCAGCGGAAGTGGGGTGGGCCTCAGCTCTGAGAGGTTCAGTGGGCTTTGGGGTTGCGGGTGGTAATAGAGGAGGGCTGGGACACTCTGCATAGGGTGCTCCAGGTCATGGTGCAGTGCTTGAGTTTTGTCCAGGGAGTGTGACATGGCCAGCTCAGCACTCAGAACAAGCACCTGTTCTTCCACACAGTCACAAGGCCCCTTGGTTCCTGCAGGCCTTGACTTGCTTGTCTGTGCAGTGGATCCTCTTTCTCATTTCTTCCTTGTGATCTAGCAAGTGGTCCCCCTTTCCCAGAAAATGACCTGTGACTTATTATAAGGGGAAGACGGTGTGCTTGGGGCTAGGGATGTAGCTCAGTTGGTAGAGTGCTTTCCTGTAGGCTAGCACGCCGCCCACAGCCGGGCACAGTGCCTGCTGGATGCTTGGAAGTAGCTGGAGAGTTTCTGGATAAAAGGGTCCATCACCCTGCTTTACAGATGGATAGACTGAGGCAAAGCCAGTGGCCTGACTCTGTGTGGAGTGAGCTGTTGACAGCTTGGGCCTGGTTGGAAACTGTGCACCCTGCATTGCCTCTCTGCATCTTGCAGCAGCTGCATATGGGAAGGAGGTGGGAGTCGGGGGTGGGGGGCAAGGATCCCGATAGCGACTCAGAGTTGCCATTTTATAGAGATGGAAGCTTGATCTCAGCAGGGAGGGGTGGGGACCAGATGGGAGCCTAGCCAAAGACCTCTGGCCAACTCCAAGCTGAGGCTTGGCCCTAGGGTGCCCCACCCCCGTGCTGGTCACTTATTCCTGGGCCACCCCGGGGCCAGGGGCTGTAGCCGCCATCCCTCCAAGCCAGCACATATGGGGCTGACATCATGTCTGCAGGGCCCCTTGGGGTCCAGCCCAGCTGCTGGAGGCTGGCTGAGGGTCCTAGAGCCTTGAGAGGGGCAGTGTCAGGTGGGCCAGACCTGGTGGAGAATCTGCAGTTCCTACCCGTGGGTCCTCAAGTCGGCCCTGGAGAGCAACAACCCTAAAGCCTGGGTTTGGGTTCAGAAGGGCCCTGGAGCTCAGACACTGGGGGCCCCAAGGCTGGCAACTTCTCTCTAAAAGAGGGACTCTAGCCTCCCCAGCAAGCAGATGTGCTGAGGACAAGGGGCGTTGCCACCAGCTGTCAGAGCAGCAGAGAGTCGGGAGTTATGCCCAGGCCTCATGGATGTAGGTCCATTTTGCAGATGAGGAAGTGGAAGCCCGGAAAGATAAAGTTATAGCCCCAGGTCACATAGCTAGGAAGGTTCAGAGTGTGGATCAGGACCCAAACCACCATTCTTTAAGTCCTACAATGACAGGGCCTAGCCTTGTCCTTAGAGGCAGGACAGGGACTGGAGTGCAGGCCAAGAAGACTGCCTGGGGGAGGTGGCTGGATCCTTGGAGGCAGGTCTCTAAGCTTTTCCCTGGGTAGGGTAGAACGAGATCTCACTGCTGTCCCTCCCTTCCTCAGGCATGACCTCCTTCCATCTGGCTCCCTGCGTCTGGCCCAGGCCCAGGTGGGTGACAACGGCCGGTATGAGTGCATAGCCAGCAACCCTGCGGGCGCCGCATCTCGCCGCTATGTCCTGGGGGTGCAAGGTAGGGCCCACACATGGCTGTCTGTCCCTCCACCCCCGTACCTTGCTTCACCTGCCACCCCAACCCTACACCTCAAAGTGCCAGATCATCACCCTTTCTGGTAATCCCGGAATCCCCCATCTGCTCTACCCCCTCCTCCCCCTCCTCCCTGTTATCCCTGGATCATGGCCTGAGGAAGCTGTTACCAAGACCCTCAAGAACAGGGGCCAGTGGGGACCAAGCGTGGGGACACGCGGGGCCAGCAGCCTGTGATGGTGGCTCTAAGGGCATCTCTGTTCAGTTACAGTCACACAGCCCCGGAGCCTGGCTCTGAATGTACAGAGGCTCATGGTACTTAGAGCACGTGGGACCCCCTGAAGATGTCCTCACTAACCCCACCCTCTTTCAGCCAGACACCCCTGCCCCTGTAATGGGCTGACTGCCATTTGCAGAGGCCTCCCATTCTCCAGACACCGCTGTGGCCTTCCCTCTATGGCCCAGTGACTTAAATATACACCCACTGTGGTTCTGGTCCCCAGCACACCTTGGGTCCCAGGCCCACCTGTTTATCCAGGCCCCTTTCAAAAAAAACCAGCTTGTGCCAGTCAAACACCAGAACCCGGAGGAGACCTCGAAACAGGACCAAGCATGCCCAGGCCACCTACTGCTTCACAGGGCCTGTGAGGGAAGGGTGGGGAGAGACGATGAATGCCCTGTGCCGTCAAAGATGATGTGAAGTCCACGCTCAGAGCCTGTGGGTAACGTGGGCCGGAAGAGCTGTACACACTTTCACGTGTCCTTCATCCTCCTGTTAGACACACCATCCAGCCTCACAGCCCAACTTCACAGATACTTTCTGGCCCTGTCCAAGCCTACATCCCATTTTACAGACAGGGTGAGACCTAGGGTGGGGGGTGGGGGCAAAGGTTTACTGTGTGTTACACTGGCCAGTGAGAGGGATGTGGGAGCCAAGGCAGGGTAGCAAGCTGGGAGCAGCGGATCTGGGTTTGAATCTCAACCTTGTTACCAACTTGCTCTGAACCTCGTAAAGTGGGGGCCACAATAATGCTCAGCTTTCAGTAGTCAGAAGGAACAGATTTTTTGTTGTTGTTGTTTTTTTGAAGCAGGGTCTCCCTGTAGCCCCAGCTGTCCTGGAACTCACTATGTAGACCAGGCTGGCCTTGAACTCACAGAGATCCACCTGCCTCTGCCTCCCAAGTGCTAGGACTACAGGTGTGAGCCACCACGCCCGCTAGGAACAGATTTTTATCAAGTACACAGAACCCTGCAAGCTGATGGTGGGCGTGGCGTGGCAGGCTGGGCGTGGGGCTTTTCCCTGCTCCTGTAACCCTTCCAAGCCCTGATGCTAATCCAGGTTCCCAGGCCTGGGTTTATCTCTGACTGCGTCTCAGAAACTGGGATGGAAATGGGGTTTCTCAGCTTCCTGACACTCAGGAACTGTCTCAGACTTCTGTACAGCTTGGGAAGCATCATGGCTTGGGCTCTGTGAATGCTCCTGGCCTGCACATGTCAGATCTTCTTAAAGCTGCCTGACGTCCTGGTCTCACAGACCCAAGGCTGCGGTCCCCAGCTCTTTCAGCTGAGAGAGGAGAGAAACCTTCACAAGCCTCTGTTTCCCTATAGGCTGAACCAGTGGGGTAGAGGGTGGGGAGACAGGCTGGAAAACACAAAGGCATCGGACATGGCAGGGGGCCACTGGGGGCTGACACCATCCATGGCTCAGCTGCTGAAGAGTCTGATGCTGTGAGGAAGGAACAGAGCTGGGGTCACATAGACACTGGTTGAGTGTGCTTCTCCAGCCTGGCTGGGCCACTGTGAGTCAGTCTACACTGCTCTAGGGTATAGACCACAGGGCCCTTTTCAAATGGCGCAGAGCCCATTCATGGGAGCCGGGGGTTAACGGTCTCAGTGCATGCCTGTGTTCTGGTGGTAGCTAGATTCTGGTCTTTTGGCATGTCGGGAAAGCCACATGGGGTATCCTAAGGGCCATCCTTAGGTCTCCCTTCCCACCTATTAGAACTTAGGCTGCTTGTTGGCATTAAGGCTGCAGAGTGGGTCAGGGCTGTGGGACCCCTCACCAGGTGGCCTGTCCCTGGGACTCTGCTAGTCCCGCCTCAGGTGCAGCCGGGCCCTCGGGTCCTGAAGGTGTTGGCAGGAGAAGCCCTGGATCTGAACTGTGTGGCTGAGGGCAACCCAGAGCCACAGCTGAGCTGGTTCAAGGATGGGAAGGCCCTGCGGGGTGGGGAACTCCAGGGATCCGTCCACTTTGCTGCCGTCAAGGCCTCTGACGCCGGGCCCTACCGCTGTGAAGCCTCCAGTAGTGCTGGCACGGATGCTTGGGAGCTGGAGCTCCGAGTTCTGGGTGAGTCCCTGAGCCCCAGTGCAGGCCTCTGCAGCATCTCCCGCCACAGCCCCAAGGCTCTGGGGAGCTTGTTGCTGTTCTGGGCTTAGGACCTGCTCGTGCCTTTCCTGACCTGTCAGGGTCTCGACCAGCAGGTCCTCAGAGCCATTTGTGAGCTCCCTGAGCCCCATGTTCTCAGGCTGGGACCTGGGACCCTAAGAGCTCTGTGCAAAGTCCTGTGACATCATGGTTGGGCAGCAGATGCCCGGCCTGGCACAGCTCTCCCTCTTATCACCTGGCCAACTCAAGCCACTGGCTCATCAGCAAAATGATCCAGAAGTAGGTAACTGAGAGATTACACATGACCCATAGAATATTCTGGATTGTTGGCTCTGACATTTTCAGCATTGGGAATTGGAAGCAAGGTACTGTTGGGAGGATACTGGCAGGACAAGACCTGTCCCACCTTTATTTTTGAGGCACTGGCCTAGCCGCTGGTGCTGGACTCCACAGGAGGCTGGGGTCTGGGGTGCTAGGAACTGCCCCCACCATCCCAGATACCTGGAGGGAGGACTAGGCTTTGAGCTCAGGATTATAAATATTGCCTTGTCACTTTCCACAGAGCCACCGCACTGGGGGGCTGATGAGACCAGTGGCCTGCTAGAGCGAGTAGCTGGAGAGAATGCCAGCCTTCCGTGTCCTGCCCAAGGTGAGGCCAAGCCCATGGTGGGGCTGGGGAAGTGAGGGGCTGGCAGGCCTGGGTTCTAGCAACCTGGCCATCCTTTAGGCAGGTTGCATGGGTAAGGAAGCTCGGCCCCTGTGGAAGTGAGAGCTGAGGCTACGGACAGCCCTCGGGGCCTTGTGAATATGAGATTCAGGGCCGTCCCACCTCTCCCCATACTTCTCAGCGATCTTGAGCAAATCAGCTTTTCTGAGGCCCCTTTTGGAATTGCAGCAACAGTCAGGGGTCCAGCTTGCCACCTCTGGGCTCAGCTGTCCAGGGCAGAGCCTGGCTTTGGCCCTTTCTGGCAGTGTATCTTCCTTTGAAACCTCCGCTTGCTCATTGGCCCGGTGGGAACACACCAGTCCCTGTCAGTAACCCTGTGAGGCATCAGGGTGGAAGGTTTGAGTTGCAGGACCCAGCGCCATGCCTGACACTCAGGAAGGGAAATGTGTTCCACAGCACCCTCACTTTCCCAATCATCTGCCTTCTTGGGCTTGTCTGTGACTAGTGGGTGAAATGAACCATCTCCATCATGGTCGGTCAGTGTTCCCAGGGGCTAAGTGTCTGGGGAGCAAGAGGAGGGTAAGGGAGGTCAACAGGAGCCTGGAGAGAAGCCTTGGGTCTCAGCAGCTCCTTCTGCAGCATCAGGGTACCAGGGAGTTCAGCACCAAGGAGGCTGGCAGGAAGCCGGTACCCAGCCTTGGTCATGGTGCTACCTAGTGTTGAACTCTGGAAACAGCAGGCAGAAGCACACTGGGAATGTAGCAGTGGGAGCCCACCAAGCCTGACCTCCTGCCTTCTGGGTGTCCCATGGTTGTGGACTCCTCATCTCCTCATATCCCCACCCCATTCATCCCTGGGCCATCAAGGGCCAGACTCCAGCCCCACAGCTATCTCCCCCCTCCGGCCCCGCTGTGGCCTCTCTGGTCTGGTCTACCCCCAGGCTGTACTTGACTGCCTCCTTTCCCAGGTGTTGGCAGTGGGTGAGCTCTGGCTCATCAGCCCTGTGTCCTGCGCCTTGTGTCTGAGGGATACAGAGACACACCACGCTCTGGCACAAGGGCGCCCCTTGGGCCCACAGGGACACCATCACCTCTCCTCTGGGGCTGGGGTGTGTGGCCAACAGTGTGTCTGCCCCAAACTTGGTTGCCCTGTGAAGGGAGGGACAGGACAGGCAGAGCCAACACCTCCCACTGCCCACGCCCCACCCCAGTATCACAGTGCATCAGTGCGGCATGGCAGACATGCTTATTTAAGCAGCACCTACTGTGGGTCAGCCGCTCCAGTGGCCTGGGCACAGCAAGGAACAGCAAAGACCCTGATCCTTGGGGAGGAAACACCAGGAAATAAAAACTGACAGGCACATTCTGTGGAGTATTTGAAGTCAGAGTTGGCAGGCAAAGAGGAGCTCAGGGTGGGCAGGGGATGCAACCGTGGTGACTGTACATAGGGTCTCCCTGAGAAAGGACCGGGAAATGAGCTCTGTCCCTGCTCTCATGTGCCCCTGGAGAACTTGGTGACCATGTGGACGTGCAGCATTGTGTGAGGACAGGGGACAAAAGCTGCTGATGGGAAGAAGTCCAACCTGGGGGTGACACAGGGCCCAAGACCACCCACTGAGGGTTGGCAACATGTGTAGAGGGGGGCCATGTGAGGAACCGTGCTGGTATGAAGGTGTCTGGTGCTCATCTGATGACTCTGCACACCCTGCCAGGGACACCCAAGCCACAGATCACATGGCGGAGGAGCCCATCCTCTGAGCCCCTGAACCGCCGGCCAGGTGTGGTAGTGTTGGACGAAGGGTCGCTGTTCCTGTCCTCGGTCTCTCTCTCGGACAGTGGAGAGTATGAGTGCCAGGCCACCAACGAGGTGGGCTCTGCATCCAGAAGAGCTAAGCTGGTGGTCTATGGTAAGCAGAGACCCTAGACTGGGGGCCAGGAACAGGCTTGCACCCACCTCCCACACTGAGACCCAAAATGATGTCAGGTCCCCAGCACCTGAGTGCTCCCTATAGAGGAGGCCACAGGTGCCTGACCCCCAGAGACCAGGAAGAGTGAGGGATTGAGGGTTGTTGCACAGGGTACCCCATTTCATCAGCAACACCTCTGGGGACAGTGTGGCAAAGTGCCCAGAGCTCTGGGAGTGGCTTTGGAAATGTTCTGGCAGGTGCATCTGTTAAAATGAACATGACAGGATCTGGGGAGATGGCTCAGTCAGTAAAGTGTTTGCTGTGCAAGCAGAAGGATAAGAGTTCAAATCCCAGTACCCATGTAAAAAGCCAAGCACTGCAGTATGCCCCTGTAACTCCAGCCCTGGGGAGACAGTACAGGGGCAAGCCTGGGGTTTGCTGGCTAGCCCAGCCTACATGGTGAGCTCCAGGTTTCAGGGAGAGATCCTGTGTAAAAAAATAAGGTGGAGCCAGGCATGATGGCACACACCTTTAATCCCAGCACTTGGGAGGCAGAGGTAGGCAGACTTCTGTGAGATCAAGGCTAGTGTGGTCTATCTACGTAGTGAGTTCCAGGCCAGATGGGTCTGCAGAGACCCTGTCTCTAAAT